ACCCTGTAAATAGTGAAATAAAATTCCTTCCTTCATATTTGTTGATATTTGTGTATTGAAAATATTTTTGATTGACATTTAAACTATATATTTCTATAGGTCTTTTTTTATTTGGGCTAGTTAAATTAATTTTCGGGCTACCAAAATCTGAAGAGTACCTGCCCGAAGGGCTACCAGGGATTTTAAAATTTTGCGAGCCCTGGTATGTATGATGTGAGTATGAGGTTCATTCATCAAACAGTGTATAGACAGTTTACTGATTATAAGGGGAGTTTTTTAAGAGTGCTTTAACTCGCACTGGACCAAAGGAAGTCATAATGTTCTTTGACAATGTAAATGTTCTTTGCACGCTTTCTCTGTATAATGTATTCACTGTTTGAATAACTGTGGAAGGTACAGGTAATAAAAAATAATTAATTACCTCATCCGTGAACATCCGTCATCAAGCATCCCAACTCCATGTTCGGAAAATAAATTAAGTTTACTACGGAACCCCAAAAGGGAATAAATAGCCTATGAGATGGGAGGATAAACATTTTTTTCAATACTTTCTCTCACAATTATATCGTTGGGTAATTATACTGTATATAAACTGCGGCCATCAGGGAACCGCTACTAAAATGCAGGGCATTGGAACCACTTTCGAATGCGCGCTCTCATTTTACTTTCACTTTCGAGATTCGCGATCACATGGACTCTATACTACGGAGCGGCAGTACCTACCACACATTTTACAAGATTGTCAGTGGTGCTCAGTATCTGCAAATCATTCGCCATTGTCCTATCAGTCATGTCTCCTTACTCTGTGTATGTGGTAAGTGAGCTTTCATGTACTGTAATGTAACAGTCTACCGCTAGCAAGCGGCTAACCATGTCCCTTCAGTGGCTCCGTAGAACGCGTTATTTGTTTTCCGTGCCTTTCTGCATACGGATTCGCGCTTCGGGCACACCCCTAACTCCACCCTCCGATTTCATCGTCCATCACAATGTTTCACTGTAGAAATCGTCCGATGCCATTTTGGTAGACATCGCCCAACCCTAATTAGAAGCCAAATTTTAAGTAAACTCGCTATAAGACTGTGGTTATTTTCAACCATGTGAATGTCTCAGTAGAGCATTTTTTGCTTGTTCGGTACATTTCACTGTAAATCAGTAACAGTTTTGCAGCAGGCTTTGCAAACAGACATTTACTGTAATATATAAACCTGACAGCATTGTCACAACATGGAAGTAACCTTGTTTATTATAATGCCTGATCTGTGACCAGTGATTTCTGATGTGTAATTATTCAAGTTCAGTCATATTGTTTAAAAAAATTTTTTTTGTTTGTGTCAGTAAATCAAGCCAGTGACCAATCTTAAAATTTTTTCTCCTAATATCATGAATATAATCTGTTATTTAAATTGTGATTAAATTATATACAGAAATGTTTGCTGGAGCAGTCAATCACAGCACCAGTTTATCTGGACAATTAAAACTCATTATAATAAATGGTTCTCTTACACAACACAATGAACCTTTTAAAGTATTTACATCATGTTTGCTGTTAGTTATGATGAAAGCATTTTGTGAGAGTGCAGAAAACGAGTTGCAATAATGAGATCAAACAGATTGTCATCTGCTCAGTGCTCATTGATCCATCCTTTCTAGTGATGGGAGTAGATCTAAATATAATTCTATAATTACCACTTTACATGATTAGTTAATCTCGACGGCTTAATGGTAAAAACATAGTAAAAGTATTTGAGACTGTTCCGCATGTAATACTTTCTATGCAAATATGTTAGCCAGTCACAGCAGTGAGCGTTTTCATTGAAGTCTCACGGCAGACACTTCCCTTCAAACAGAGCGTTCAAATCCGAGACTAAAATCAGGAAAAAAATTACATTTATTTATGTGTAAAAACATAAATGTGCACCTCAAGAAACGATATGAAATAATAATAAAAAACAATGCAGTTCAATATTCCTTTAAAATTTATTACATTTGAGGTGCAGATACCTGCAGATTCCCTGTAGACAGCTGTGAAATAATGTAGATTAGACAAGTACTTTTCACAATACATCAAAGGGTCCATTACATTAAAATATATTTTGTTTCTTAGTTTGTTTTTTTTCACATACAGACAACAGCATTGTAAAGGGGATCCCCATTTGTAAAAACAATAGGCATGTGCATGAGTATTGCGTGTTTTCATGGATCTGTGTGAAAAGGGACAGTTTTGACACTGTTTTTATCTGTACACAAATATTTTATCCTTTATTTTCCAAATGTTCCAATTGATTTTCATCTTTTTAATGATTTCATTTTAGGCCTGATGAAAGTGAAAGAAGAAACACATGATCTGAATGAGGTGGAGGAGAAACATCAGGATCAGAAAGATCATGATGTCAAAGAAGAAAAACCAGTGAGTTACAGCATTCAAATAACAGAAGTCAAAAAGCCTTTCAGCTGCTCTCAGTGTGGAAACACATTCAAACAGAAAGGAAGCCTTATGAAACACGTGAGAATTCATAATGGGGAAAAGCCTTTCAGCTGCTCTCAGTGTGGAAACACTTTCACGTGTAACGAAAACCTTAAGAATCACATGTTAATTCATGCTGGAATAAAGCCTTTTACCTGCTCTCAGTGTGGAAAGAGTTTTACAAAAAAAAGGCAACTTAAGGACCATTTGGTAACTCACACTTCAGAAAAGCCTTTCACCTGCTCTGAGTGTGGAAACACTTACACACGGAAAACAAACCTTAAGAAGCACATGTTAATTCATACTGGGATAAAGTCTTACAGATGCTCTCAGTGTGGAAATAGTTTTACACAGAAAGGACACCTTAATGATCATTTGGTAACTCACTCTTCAGAAAAGCCTTTCAGCTGCTCTCAGTGTGGAAAGTCTTTCACACGTAAAGGATACCTTAAGACTCACATGTTAATTCATGCTGGAATAAAGCCTTTTTCCTGCTGTCAGTGTGGAAAGAGTTTCATATGTAAAGGAATCCTGAGGAATCACATGTTAATTCATACTGGGATAAAGTCTTTCATCTGCTCTCAGTGTGGAAAGAGTTTTACTCAGAAAGGACACCTTCAGAATCATTTGGTAACTCACTCTACAGAAAAGCCCTTCATCTGCTCTCAGTGTGGAAAGTCTTTCACACGTAAAGGATACCTAGAGACTCACATGTTAATTCATGCTGGTTAAAAGTAGGGCTGCATGATATTGGAAAAAACTCACATTGTGATATTTTGTTTTTCTGCTATATTGTGATATGAGAAAAAAAAATCACCAGATGACTTGAATAGCTCTATTTGGGAAAAAAACTAATATCAATGATTGGGGTTTGTAGGTGAGTAAATCAGCATAGAAAATAAACAAATTACAAGCATAGATAAATATAATAGAACAAAGATACAAATGAAATAAACAGTGCTTTACATTTTTTTTCAGGAAGTCTTAACCGTATTCCGGTACAGAAATTGAATAATTAAATGTAAAATAACACTGCATAGTCTTCATTGTACAAATTAAATTGAATAAATCTGTTAAAGCTACAAAAGTGACTTTTCTCTGTTTTGTTGTTTGATTAACAATTATGACACAGAAAGCCTCAAACTGCTGTGAACCAAAATACTGTTACACATCCATTTCCTTTCTCAATTGTTTACCTTCACCTAAGCCATAAACAACTTAAAAGGATACTTGCAGAGACATGCATTTTGACATAATTTCGCACAAATAGACGTGGAAGTGAACGGAATTAAGTGTTCACGTGCATCTGCGTGGCTCTCACCGTGTCTACACCGGATACGAGGGCGCGACGTGACAAAATGCTGAACCCATTATAATCAGATGCGGCGCGACACGACAAATCACCGACAGTAAACAGCTGCCTCGTTCTATTTACGACGTGCTGACACAAAGTTCAAATTATGTGCAACGGTCGCTTTGTCACGTCCAGTGTACTAGACTGTTGCGGCGTGGGGCAGCGCGATACTACAGCTGTCGCGTCTGGTGTAGACCAGGTCTTTGTGTGAGCAAAAAACGATCAGTATAAATATAACGATCAGTATACTAAACATCGCACATCCTGCGATGTGACTATTGCGGATGCGCACATCGCGATATGCTGAAACGATATATTGTGCAGCCCTATTTAAAAGCCTTTTGGCTGCTCTCAGTATGGATAGAGTTTCACCTGTAAATGAGGATTTAATCATTGCATGAGAGTTCACACTAAAAAGATGCCTTACCATAAAACTCATACAAATTAAAAGCCTCACATCTGTCCTAGGGCTGGACGATATGGGCAAAATTTATATCACGGTATATTTCTTAATTTCGGTCGATACGATATAATTCTGTTATCGATATGAACACAATTTTAAAAAGCCTCATAAAAACTGCCAAGAACACCCACAACAGATGTCTGTACCTTCAAACTTGTGAAAAATTTATTTGCCAATTCTATGAAACCTCTTCCTATAAAAATATTAAATTTTTTAGGGAAAAAAACAGCACAAATAAATCAATGTTCATAATTTCGGTCGATACGATATAATTCTGTTATCGATATGAACACAATTTTAAAAAGCCTCATAAAAACTGCCAAGAACACCCACAACAGATGTCTGTACCTTCAAACTTGTGAAAAATTTATTTGCCAATTCTATGAAACCTCTTCCTATAAAAATATTAAATTTTTTAGGGAAAAAAACAGCACAAATAAATCAATGTTCACCTTTTATTTGTATTTAGCCTTCATACACACAAGAAATGTGAAATCACTGTCAAATAAACATCTCAGACTCACCTTATTAATTGTTAATATCTTTGACTTCAAACTATAGGCTAACATACCAGTCAAAAGTTTTTGAACAAAAAGTTTTTTAATGTTTTTTAAAGAATTCTCTTCTGCTCACCAAGCCTGCATTTATTTGATCCAAAATACAGCAAAAAAACAGTAACTTTTTGAAATATTTTTTACTATTTAAAATAACTGTTTTCTATTAGGAAATATTTTAAAATATAATTTATTCCTGTGATTTCAAAGCTGATTTTTTTAGCATCATTACTCCAGTCTTCAGAGTCACATGATCCTTCAGAAATTTTCAGCATCATTACTCCAGTCTTCAGTGTCACATGATCCTTCAGAAATCATTCTAATATTCTGATTTGCTGCTCAAAAAACATGTATTATTATGTTGAAAACAGGGTAGAATTTGTTCAGGTATCTTTGATGAATAGAAAGTTCAGAAGAATGGCATTTATCTGAAATAGAAATCATTGTAACATTATAAATGTCTTTATCATGACTTTTGATCAATTTAAATCATCCTTGCTAAATAAAAGAATTAATTTCTACAATCCCCCCCCAGTACTTTGGATCAAATAAATGCAGGCTTGGTGAGCAAAAGAGTCTTCTTTAAAAAAACGATACAAATCTTACTGTTAAAAAAATTTGACTGGAAGTTTAGGCTGATTATTCTTATAGATTGAAACAAATGTGCTTCAGCCAGGATAAAGAATATGAAAACAGCGGTTTCCCCGGTAATGGCTGTAATCAAAGCAGCTCTGCTCATGAACGCTACTTTATCAGATAAAATAAAAATGCCATCGAAACTTTTCTGAAGACAATCGGTTCCTTTCAGAGATACATTAATATAAAACACCCGCGCCGCGTTTTGATTTTGAAATGTGCAGTGCTCATGTTTATTCAACGAAGTCAAAAGCCACAAATAAATCAGTGTATGGGAAACACTGGTAATGTATATCGAAATATCGGAAATGTATTTAAAGGGGAGTCAGCTTTCTTAATCGCGGCTTGTGTACTGCAAATACATACGAGTATCATCACTGTGTCTGTCACACGATTCTGTTCCCCTTTCTGGCTTGAACTGATGGTAAAACTAAGGACATTATGTACTGTCTTTACATTTATGTTGAAAGCTGAAGCTCGCGGTTTAAACAAGGCATTTTAGGAGGGCGTGGACAAGTCTTAACTTTTATAAAGAATATATCTTTGGGTTTGAGACTTTAGACTTTGCAACTTTAGGGATCTTATCTATGCACGAACAGCTTGTAACACTCCTAAGAGAAAGGAAAATTTTAAATTGCATCATATGACCCCTTTAAAAATTATATCACCGTTATTGAAAAAAATTATATCGCGATACATACTGATATTTAATTATTGTCCGGCCCTAAACTGTCCTGTTTGTGGAAGGAGATTTCTATGGGTTGACTCCTTTTTTAAAAGCGTGAAAAACTTGTGTGCTGTATGTTGTTAATGTTTTAAAGGGGTCCTGAACTGCCTGTTTTTTTATCTTGTACTTTTCTCTGAGGTCCACTTATAATGTTATCATGTTATTTTTACATTAAAAAACATCATAATTTTGAAGTAATGGGCTGTTTTCTGTCCTGTTTTTAACCCCCCTAATCAGAACGCTCTGTTTGAATAGGCGTGGCGGATTGTAGACTCGGAAGTAAACGCCCACTTCTATGATTGGCTTGTGTATGTTTGACAGTCTACGTCCTTCACAGAAGGACGCTGCTGTGATTTAGGTTAAAACGCATAAATACTCAGTACATATCAAACAATCTGTTTAACAGACAAAGCAATAGTTATCACGTAATGAAAACAGTTACTCACGTGCTGCGCAACATTACTGTCGGATCCAATATAGTCGCACAGCATCATCTTTTAGTTTCAATCTTTATGAAAATCCCATGTCGAATCGAGTGTCGAGCCTGTTTGTAAACAAATCTGTGGTAAAATGAAGTGAACAAGGGACCAAGTTCTCACTGACGTAGAGGGAAGGCAATGCAAATACTTGTTTTTTCCAAAACTTGGCACTGCACAGCATCTTGTTGTCTTCAGAGCCTGCGCATTCGCCTCTCTCCCCTCTCTCCTCTCACATGCGTGAATCAGTGGGCGGGAATGAACAGACAGTGATGTAGAATCGGTGGGCGGAGCTAAACAGGCAGTGCTGTCGATCTTCTGCGGAGGCGGTGCTTATCCACACTATGTTTTTAGACTAACGACAAAGTTTTGAGTTCTGAAACTTACAGGATGTTTTTATAGTAAAATGAGCTCTTATATGTCAAAAGATCAAGGGAATTTTGGTTTCTCAGTTCATGACCTCTTTAAGGCCCTGTTTATACTAGTACATTTTTGTTTTAAAATGCGTTTCGACCCTTAAAAATTGAGACTTTTGAAAACGCTGCAGACCTCGTTTTAGTTTGAAAACTAAAACATTGAATACACTGCGTTTCAGTGTAAACTGACCAAAACGGAGACTTTTGAAAATGATGGCGTGGCTGCCCACATTCACTCTGCATATCCTTGACAACCATGCAAACAATAACATCATGCTCATTGTTTTACCCATATATGTATAGGTAGATTCCCCATTCGACCGCTCCAAGCACATAGACGCATCTGCCATCTAAATAATGGAGAATCTACCTATACATATCTATGGTTGTACCTGCATGAATGCTCATGTGACCGGGCCTAAATGTATACTGCTGATCCATCTGGTATTTTATCGGTGCTTTTTGTTATTTAAAAAACAAAAACATAACAGAATTTTTATAGAAATTAAGAACAAATTAAGACCATTGCTTACAGTTAGAAATTTCTCAGTCCCTTTGGCTCAATTGCCATTTAATTTTTTTGTTTGTTTGTTTTGTTTTGTTTTCATCATGTGAGTCTTCACATGCAAAATGATCCAAAATCTGTCAAATGTACTTGTATACTCTAATATCTACCAATGCCCACCAAGAAGATTGAAACTTGTAGCAGTAGTATTTTTTTTCCCTCTCTCTCTGATGGATGTCATTTTGTGGCAATTTTCTGTTCACTGTATAGGTCTCTTCGTAAAGAAATGTGTAAAAATAGATATGAAAATGTGAATTTTCTGTTTACATGCAACACATTGCTACACAAATAAATGTACTGTATAAGTTCAAATGTGCATATTCTTTCTCTGAGTACTCTAATATTGACTTTTCCCTGTAAACTTTTACCTACCTTCGAAATGAACCAGTGAACACACCCATGTGGGGCCCAAATTGGTTGCACCTAGGGCCCGGTCAATTTTGTCCCATAAAAGCACACATCAACTGCTGACAATCTTTTATTTACAGGTGATTTTAATTCTGTTTAATTGTGCAAAAAAATATGCTGAAAAATGAATCAA